TTGGGATGATTTTGAAGCTAAATGAGCTAGGACATTTATAGTTGAAACTTATGGACTAATCTTTGAAAATACCTTAAAGTGCAATTACTAAAATGTAATTAATCATTGCTTAAATTCAAAAAAATTCGACTACCTAATTTTTGAATTCTTATATCAACCGACTGCCATCTAGAATGTCATGCAAAATTTCAACAATTGCTAGCTATCATCTAGAATGCCATGCAAAATTTCAACAATTGATGGCTGCCATCTACTGCCATCTAGAATGTCATGCAATTGTCAACAGTGTTATGGTCAATAATTTTATCTAAACAACTTTGATAAACTTATTGTTTAAACCTTTCTTATATATTATATGCTAGGACCCTTATACAATTCCAACATTTAAAATTCATTCACTATAATTTTACGATATTAGATTTTGTACTATTTTTTATTTAAAATTCTTGATCTTTCGTCTAACTTCTATTCAATTTTAATTTTTACATGTATTGACCCCATGCATTATGCGGGAAATCAAAACTACTTAACCAATATAGAAATGACCTTTAATAGTTGGAGGACTAAATTAAAAAATCCCGAATAATTAAGCAATTATCAGTGAATTTATCCATTATTTTAGTAGATTCACTGAAACCATTAGTGTTATGATTCATCAACCACAAGAGTAATTGAAACCCTCAAGAATTAGCGAGGAGGTTAATGATTAAGATAGTGGGATTATGTTTAAACTTTTACGAGGTCGGTTGATTAGAAAGATAAGAGTGTGATTGTGTTTTCAAGTTTTTTCCCAATTTAGTGTGCTCCCCCTCCCGAATCCCCTATTCCTATGTTGAATACCATATCCATTGAAATGATAGGTAGGTTTAATTAATATATTACACGCGACTAATATTTTATTAAACAAATCTTGACTTCATACGTTGATAGGCCAACCATAGCAGCCCTTTACAGGGGTTAGTATTCTTACCATTTTTAGTCATGTCTCGTCCACTATACAGGTACATGGATCAAAATTAAGACATTAATTTTGTTGTCTGGGGACCAAGAATTTCCCATTGCAAGAATCAGGTTCTCTAAGAAAACTACCGCTCCCCCCGGTTCCTCATTCACTTGCAATGAAATGGAATAAATGCTGCCATTAATGGATTCGTCCCCCATAAACTATATGCTTTTCTTTTGATTTTCGTGTAAGAAGAAAAAATCTTTTGTTCTAAACCACTCCGGGTAGCAATGTGCTGTCATCTGTGTAAGAATAAATAATTGCACGATGAACTGATAATAATAATAAGGGGTGGATTCATATCCATGAATGTTGCTGTTGCTGCAACTAACTCCACAGTGCTTCGCTTATAAGTCTCAAATTCTACCTACATGAGGTGATGATGTACCAACCTACTTACAACGTGTAAGCTCAGTAACCAACTTTTAATAGTAACAAAATAATTTGAACACAAAACATCATAATTTTTTTATATAACCACCGGTTTTCAATCTATTGATCGACTAATTCAGATCGGGTAATGTAAAGGCGAGGGCGGCCATCCCAACCCAGTTTGCTCCATTTGAAATAGCCAAGATTCGAACCCCTAACCTTACTTAAACAAACAAATTATGTGAGTTTAAATTCTAATTCAATCTAAAAGCATTTGTTTTTATAACCAAAATTAATGTCTTCATTAAAGATAGTGTTTGTAATTCAATCTAAAAGCAATTGCGTTTACTTTACAAGACTATTGAGTAGTCATAGGGATTCAAGATGGTGTTATGATTTGTTACCTTTTTAATAGTCCGGATGATTACAAGAAAAATATTATTTTATATAGTAATATTTTTTGGATTAGTTTAACATTATTATAAGATAATATTTGTTTATAATATTTCTTAATCATTAATAATACACAAACATTCTGTAATGAAAACAATTATGATAGTGAAGAAAATTATAAAAGAACGGCCCATCATTAGTGTTGACGAAAATGGGTAAAGAAAACGAAAGAACACGAGAATTTTACGAGGTTCGGCAATGTGCTTACGTCCTCGGTGCCTAGGTGGCGCTAGAATTTTATTCAATTGTTTTTTTAGGTCTAGGTTACATCTCTATTTATAATAGAAAACCCTGGTACATAATTACAAAATCAACCCTGTACCGTACAGGGTATGTGTTTACCATGTATTCAGATTATGCAGGTGACTTGGATAATAGAAGATCTACGACAGGGTATGTGTTTACTCTTGGTGGAGGGCCTATTTGCTGGAAGTCTACTGTTCAATCTGTCGTGGCACTATCTACAACTGAAGCTGAATACATGGCAGCGGCTGAAGCTGCAAAAGAAGCTTTATGGCTTACTGAAGGAGTTGGGTGTTCAACAAGGTGGAGTTCAGTTGCTTTGTGATAATCAAAGTGTTATTCACTTGGCTAAGAATCAGGTGTATCGTGCTAGAACTAAACATATTGATGTAAGGTTCCACAAGATCAGAGAGTTGGTTGCATCTTGAGAGGTTTTGTTTCAGAAGGTACATACTGATGAGAATGCCGCTGATATGTTCACCAAGCCAGTTACGACAGACAAGTTCAAGCATTGCTTGGACTTGTTGAATGTTTCGAGTTGTTAAAGAAGCAAGGTAACCCAACCCACATTGAAGTTTCCAAGGGGCAGGATATTCGCCAAGGTGGAGATTTGTTAGGTATGGCTCATAAATATACCAGTAAAGAGGACAGGAGATGGAGCGGAGTGAGCGAAGCGAACATCAACTGTCATTACAAAGAAAGTCTCGTTGTGGGGTTACAAATTATGTGGGTTGGGGGTGCGGGGGCTGCGCCCCCCGCGGTACGGTACAGGGTTGATTTTGTAATTTTGTACCAGGGTTTTCTATTATAAATAGAGATGTAACCTAGACCTAAAAAAACAATTGAATAAAATTCTAGCGCCACCTAGGCACCGAGGACGTAAGCACATTGCCGAACCTCGTAAAATTCTCGTGTTCTTTCGTTTTCTTTACCCGTTTTCGTCAACAATTAGGTATTCAAAGTGACATAACAGGCCATTTTCATTTACCACCCTTTATTCTAGTTCGTATTACCGTCGTCATTTAGTCAAATTTCTTTGTTGATGGTTATAGCCTCATGGAATTACTTGTGGGGAGAATCTTATTAAGGAATATGAAGAGGAAGCCGGAATACCAACAACTTTAGCTAGTAGGTAACGTTTTCCATCCTTCCACTTGACTCTGTATTTCATGTTTATTAATATATCTTGCACATCCTGTATCGGCTTGGAATTGAACCTTGATAGTACAATGTTGATGATTCGATACAGTTGATTTTGATCAGCATATCTATTCTCTCCATCTCTTCCCAGCATTATTGGAAGTGATGCAGTGGCATCCAAGATTAATTTAATCAATTAAAGTTTTATCGTTAGGACTACATTAACTTCTATTTAGTCTTATCTCGTGTTCTGTCAGTGATTATTTTAGCGTTAATGTATACTTTACCCCTGAACTTGGTAACTATTTCTGGACCTAATTCTACCTAAACTTGAAAATGGTTAAAAGCTTTTGTACTGTCAGTTGCTCCAGTTTAATTTTTGAAATGTATTTATTAATTAATCTTATGAAATATAGATTTGATTTAGTGATTTGATTATATATTGATTTAGTATTTGTAAATTTTAATTCTTTGATTTAATATGCATAACAAATTTATTTGATTTAATATATATATATATATATATTATTTTGATATTATGTTTGATATTTATAAATTTATGTTTAGTATATATTAATTAATTTAAATATAATATTTTGATTTTTGGAAAGTTGCTCACCGTCGTTCGATCCATGTGGTCTTAGAGAATCTTTGTCCACTCGACGTCGTGAAGTTGCTCACCGTACGAATTTACGGTCAGAGATGTTTGTCATCTCCGGAAAATCTCAATAAAAGTTTGACATTTCCTTTAAATTTGCTCTATTTATTTTAGTTTCTTCTATTAGTTATACTCTATTTTTCAGGTTTGTAGACATTTTTTTTGCAAATATTTAGATTGTGTTACGATTATTTTTTACAAATTATAGTCTTATCAAGTTATTGGAGTTTTTTTAGATTAACCTCGCTGAAATATGAGAATAGATGATGATTTTGTCATTTTCCAGTATTGGGTGAAAAGTGAATTTGGAGGAGTGTAAAGTTAATTGGGAGGGGATTGGGGGTTGGGTTGATTGATTATCGGTTGCTATTGGGGTTAAGGGTATTTGATCTAGATTATATATTAAATTTGAATTTTATATTAGATTTAAGTTTTAACTAGATATATTTTTGGTTTTAGTTTGAATTCATGTTTGATGAATGAATTTTTAAACCCAACCAAAAATAATGTTTATAATAGATATTTTTAATTATCTTTTGAGCATAAATAAATTCAGGGTGGACACAAAAAATTTATGGTATGCACAAATTAATTTTAGGGTGAATATATATATATAAATTGAATCTGAAAAGCATATAGCTCCACCACTGGTTGTGTCACTCCAAGAGTCCTACTTCCTTTGTGAGGCCATAGTGAGCCAGAGAATCGGCTGCTCCTTTAGCTCCTCGGGGAATGAGAGCGAACTCGACCGACCAGTTTTGGTCCAGCAGCTTCAGGATCCCCCTTATAATTGTCGGTTTGTTCCTTTGACTAGGCATGGTAATCAGTTCGGTGTTGTCCATCTTCGCCATCACGTGTCTAGCGTCATACTTCCAAGCTAATTGGACATCATCCAGTAGTCCTCAGAGTTCCGCATTGAGCACTGAGCAACGTCCAATATTCCGGCTATAACCCACAATCCACTCTCCATATGGTCTCATCCAACCGCCGCTCGCCGCCTCCTTACAACTAGTTTTAAATGATCATGTTGTATCATTCAGCTAGAGAAATATAAACAAACAAAAAATATTGTTACACGGTAAGTTCATTTGTAAACCCCATTATCCATTTTGAAGAAAATTTTGAAACTTAATGCACAACAGGGAGCTGCGAAGGTTTAGGATGGTCAACTGTAACCTAAAACTAACTTGGCATTTGTTTGATTTTTTGATAAAATTATTACTTAAAATATTAGAATAAACTTTTATTTATAGTTGAGCGGTTATATATATAATTATTTATTAATGTAACATGCTATTTTGTAACATAATCAAAACTTTAATGACAGTTTTATAACTTATAAAAGTTTAATGGCAATATATATCACGTCATCATAGTTTAATGATCATTTGTGTATTTTATCTTTTAAACTAAAAAAATACAAATATTAACCCCTAAATAATTAAAATACCACCATACAAAGAAAGTGATAAAAATTTTACATTAAAATCATTATCCATACAAACAAATAAACATTATCAATATATTATAGAACATGATGACCTCTGAACAATTGATTTTACCACAATTTAAACATGTCATATTTAGGAATCATCTATTAATATGGGAGAAGATTTTACAGTTTAAATTTAAATCAATAAAATAATTAAATAATCATTTATCAGAAAGATAACGATAAATCTAACCCTAAAAAATATACTAAAGAGCAAACTAAACATGCATCGTTTTCATAAGAAAAATGAAGATTATTGCTCAACAAAATAAAAATATTCAGATATGGAAAATGAAGGTTAAAAAAAAAAGAAAAAATAAAAGGAAGAAGCGAAACAGTACAGACAAAACTAATGAGTGACCACAACATAGGCCAAATACGGACGATGTCACTCTCCTCAAACAACTGGATAATCGAAGATGTATTAACTGCAACAGTCTGGTATTATTTTCTTTTTGTTGTTTTCCTTGTTTATGTTTTCATCCCATGATTGTAGTTGGAGAAACGAGAAGGAATATTTGGTGATCACACTGCCGTGTCCTGCATTAGATTAATGGAATATAACTGTGTGAATTGTTCCTCAAGCATATATATTTGGTTCTGCTTAGGTTGTATTTTATGAAAATTGATTGAATTTTGTAAAATTAGGAAGCCTGATAAATGTTATGATGATTGCTTGAATCTTCACTCGTAAACCTTTTGGGGAGTGTTTGTTCCGTAAAATATTTGTTTGGATACCCTTGCTTTTGAAATTTCATAATTGGAATATGATTTTTGCAGCATTTTGCTTATGCTAAATTGAGTTTGGTATCCTATAATTTGTAAAATATGGAGTGCATATACTTTCTCTAGCACATTGTTTGCTAACTTGTCACCTGAGCAGGGGCCTCAATATTTTTGCACAAACTTCTGGACATTTGTTTGCACCACCTGTAGTGGAATACAGTAAGTATCAAGGTTTATTCACATTTTTGGCTACCGATTAGGTTATGTTTGAAACTTTAGTGCCTTTCTAATTATAGTCCATAGGTTTACTAAAACTGGTCCCTGGCTTTAATTGTTTCCAGCCGGGAATTCACACACATAGTTAAATCCGTATCAATGGCTAAGTTCACTTCTCAGGAAGTTGCTGTTCTTCAAGAAGGCGAAAACCAGGTTGAGATAAAATCCCCCTTCTTCTCATGGAAAAAAGGAAAAAGAAAAGAAGAAAAGATCTGTTTCATATGTGTAGTTTTCCTCTCATTCTGATGTTCCAGTTTCTCACCCCACCCCCACCCAAAAAAAATCTTTCACTTACATGCAGCGTGCAAAAGAAATCTATTTTAAAGAATGGGATCCTCAGCGTGATTCTGCTCCTAACAGCAGGTTATCACTCAAATACCCAATCTTTATTCTGTACCTTTAGTAGCTTCTATGTTTCTGAGTTAAAATTTTGTTGCCAGCAATTTTGAGAGGCTTCGGGGCTTCATTAAACATGTCTGTCGTAACCGGTTTTCGTCCGGGCACGAAATATTAAATTTTGGCGGGGAAATTGATGTGAATAAATAATTTTGAAAATAATTTGAGAGTCGCCATCGGCCTTTTGGGTCAGGTAGGTCGAATACCTAAAAATTATCTTTTAAAATTTTTTTTTTAAGAAAACATTATTTAAAAGATGCACTGATCTGCGTTTTATAACCAAAAATTCGTTCTTTTTAATAATAAAAAGGGATTCGTGGTCGGTTACGTTTAGGGAAGGATTAGCACCCCTACAACGCCCAAAATTGGTACTTTTTAATTATAAATTGTCTCTATTATTAAAATTTAAAAATTCAAAAATATATTTAATTTATAATCCTATTATTTCAAAATTATATAAAAATATTTATTTATTTAAAAATATCCGAAAAGAACTTCTAGGTGCCTCAAGACAGCTCTTTTCTTTGACATTGATAAATATTGATTTAAATAATATTGTTTACTTTTTAATTATAAAATATCAGAATAGGACATCCAGTTGTATTAAGACTGTCCTTTTCTTCGATATTAAAAACAAATATTAAAAAAATATTTATTATATGTATATTTATGAATATATATAAAAACATTTAATAGTATAATAAAATAAAAATATCACTAAAACAATATATTTTAAGCAATAAAATGAAAACATATAAAATAAATAACTAAATTATGAATAAAATAAAACTAAATCTAATTCCTAATTAATTGAAATTATAGGGATTAAATATTTTATTTTCTAATTTTAATAATTTAATGACCAAAATGAATTTATTTAAAATTTAAATTTTATAACAAAATTAATTAAAAATATGAACTAGGGATGAAAACTTTATTTATTAAAATTAAGGGATTAAATCTGTTATTTATCCTAAACATATTATTTTAATAAAAAGGACTAAAATGAATAAAATTAAAATTCAAAGACTGAATTAAAATTATTATAAATTCAGTTTAGTGACCAAAATGTAAAATTTACAAATACGAAGGACTGCGGACGGGGTTTAACTATTTCATAATTACGCGCATAGTCCTTCCCGAAACGACGTCGTTCGGGAAGGACTATATATGTCCAAAAACCGGCTGGCCCGAAGGGCCAGCTTCATTTCATCATTTCTGTTCTCTCTCTAACTGAGAGAGAACAAATTTCTCTCTGCCCTCTCTCTAGCTTCCCTCATCGGAGGGAAGCCGGTCACCGGACGGCAACCGTCTGCCGCCGTGACCATCACCGCCGGCCACCGCATCCGGTGGCCGGAAAAAAAGATTTTTACACTAATATATAGATCGGACCGTCCTAAGGACGGTTCCGGTGTTATTTCTTCCTAAAAGGCTCCCAATCGGAGCAAATCTACAAAAGTACCTTCGTTGTTTCGAAGGTTCCGGTGAGATCTGGTAGTCGGAGCTTCCTCGGTAAGTTCTCTTCTTCCTTTTTCCTTCTTTTTTTGTTTCTGCTTATGGGATATTTGGCTGAGATCGTTGGTTAGTATTTTTTTCTTTTTCTGTGTGTTTGTTTTTTTCTTTTCCGTTCTCTGTTTTTTCTCTCTGTTTTTCTGTCCCTTTCTTTTTTTCTTCGCAGGTGGGGTGGTGGCTTTTATAGCCACCACCGTTGTAGCCGTCGGACCGGTCCGAAGAAGGGCTCTCGGTGAGTCACCGGACTACCAGTGGTGACTCACCGAGTAGCCATGGCGTGGACGGCTGCCATTTTATCTTCTGGAGTCTTCGGTTGGGACGTGGCAGCGGCGTGGCGGCGAGAAGACTGTCGGCAGCCGCGTGGAAGCTGGGGCGGCGCCGCGTGGCCCTAGGGTATCAAACCCTAGGGTTCCTCTCTGGAGCCATCTGGACCGTTGGATCTTGCCAGATCCAACGGCTATGAGCTGAGGTGGCTGGTTAGATTAGGGTTAGGAAACCCTAACTGGAAACCTAAATATTTAGGGTTTCTGGTTGGATCTGGACCGGTTCTGGTTGGTTTGTAACTGGGCCGGTCCAAATGTAATGGGTCTGTAATTATTATTATGTATTTAATATATTTAATATAAATTAATAATAATAATAATAATAATAATAATAATAATAATAATAATGATAATAATAATATTAATAATAATAAGGATAATTATGAACTTCTTCTTCCTTCTTCAGATGAGTTCTTCTCATTATGAACTTTCTGCTGGGGATGATGATGACCTCCTTTTTGTGATAGAGTCATTCAAAAGGTTGAATAAGCTCTTGATGAGTTCTTCTCATTATGAACTTTCTCTTCCTTCTTCAGATGAGTTCTTCTCATTATGAACTTTACCTGGCAATGTTGATCCATCAAATGATGAATTCAAGCAAAAGGTTGAACAAATTCTTCTCATTATGAACTTCTTCTTCCTTCTTCAGATGAGTTCTTCTCATTATGAACTTTCTCTGGAAAAGATGATTCACCAAATGATGGATTCAGGTAAAAGGTTGAACAAATTCTTCTCATTATGAATTTCTTCTTCCTTCTTCAGATGAGTTCTTCTCATTATGAACCTTCTCTGGCAATGTTGATCCATCAAATGATGAATTTAAACAAAAAGTTGAACAAGTTCTTCTCATTATGAACTTCTTCTTCCTTCTTCAGATGAGTTCTTCTCATTATGAACTTTCTCTGGAAAAGCTGATCCATCAAATGACGGATTCAAGTAAAAGGTTGAACAAATTCTTCTCATTATGAACTTCTTCTTCCTTCTTCAGATGAGTTCTTCTCATTATGAACTTTCTCTGGAAAAGATGATTCACCAAATGATGGATTCAGGTAAAAGGTTGAACAAATTCTTCTCATTATGAATTTCTTCTTCCTTCTTCAGATGAGTTCTTCTCATTATGAACCTTCTCTGGCAATGTTGATCCATCAAATGATGAATTTAAACAAAAAGTTGAACAAGTTCTTCTCATTATGAACTTCTTCTTCCTTCTTCAGATGAGTTCTTCTCATTATGAACTTTCTCTGGAAAAGAATGATCCATCAAGTGGATTTGAAATCTTTGCTAAAATCTTTGAAATTCCTGTTAAAAATTCAACATAGATGAAAATGAATGAAAATGCATCTATTTTTGCAAATGCCTAAATATGATGCATGAATGTTGAGTTATTTGATTTCAGATTGGTGAATTGAGTATTTCTTCAATTGTAAAAACCTAATATATCTGTCTTCTTCACATCAAAGAATCTATCATCTTTGACAAATGTAGATGTAGATATAATGTCACAAAACCTCTTGAGAATAAAACTCAATAGTATAAACTTTTGAAAAGCTTGCATTCAGGCAACATGTTGATTCTGATAACAACTCATCTGATTATGAAGTAACCTTTCAGGATGATTTCACAGATATCGATAGTTCTTCTAATACCGAGAAATCTTGAATTCTGATTCTGATGATGAAAATAAACTGTTATACTTGACAAAAATGGGATTCTCAAAGGCTGAAGCTTCAATAGATCAAATAACTCAAAGAACACTTCCAGAAGATGCTATTGAGTATCCTTATTTTTACTATGAGCAAATTCATCTTCCAAATTCAATGATTGTTCTATCCAACCAGATCAGATAACTCAAAGAACACTTCCAGAAGATGCTATTGGCAAATTCATCTTCCAAATTCAATGCTTGGTTCTATATAATCAGATCAAATAACTCAAAGAACACTTCCAGAAGATGCTATTGGCAAATTCATCTTCCAAATTCAATGCTTGGTTCTGCTAAACCAGGTCAGATAACTCAAAGAACACTTCCAGAAGATGCTATTGGCAAATTCATCTTCCAAATTCAATGAATGTTCTGCTAAACCAGGTCAGATAACTCAAAGAACACTTCCAGAAGATGCTATTGGTAAATTCATCTTCCATTTTCAATGATTGTTCTGCGATATCACAGTACTTATTCGATATAAAGCCAGAATTTGTAGATTCGAAGCATTTCCATGCTGCTACACTAAAAAAGGCTATATTCATAATCTGCCAACAGAGTTTCTCTTATTCTGCTTCTTTCATGTGCTGATGCTTTTCCATTGACAAGAAATGATGGCCTTCTTGGAATCCAAGAATAAAGTTAAACTGTTTATAAACATGTACAGGAAGTGCCAAATTGACAGAAAGGATCTGTAAGGTTCTTGAAGCTTATGACAATGAGCCACCTTAGAGTGTCCAGAAGTATGTTCTTAATGAATGCTGAAAATGGAATCTAGTATGGGTTGGAAGGAATAAAGTTGCTCCACTTGAACCTGATGAGGTGGAAATGCTTCTAGCTTTCTTTAAAAACCATACACAAGGATCTATATAGAGACATATTTCCCAGTGATATCAATGTCTTGTTTCTTTTTGCTGGAATCAGTACTGCAAAGATCATCTTCTACTGTTTTAATATATCTTTGAAAACAGATGTGCAAGAACTGAATGGTGATCGGTTGGAGCAATTGATGAGTAGATTTGGCGGATTCGACCTTGTTGTCGGTAGCACCACTTGTAACAATCTTGATGTTTATGGCTTTAAGCTAGTGATGATTTGCCTACTTTGTATTCCATGTATTTAAAAGTATTAACATAAAGTGATATTCAGAAATCTTTAAATTATTTCAAAATTATGTTAATTCAATGGAAAAGAATAAATTGAATTTCCAAAAATAAATTGAATCTCAAATAAATTGAACTTGAAATAGATATAATTGTATTCAAAGTTATGACAAGCATAAGAATAAAAATTCAAATGTCTCAACAAATTATAAGCATAAGTATTTCTAAATTAATCAAGTTGACACAATTTAGAGATGATGTAAGCTTTTGTCTGGAAGATCTCAAACGTTGTTGAAATGCTTGTAGATGTGAAGTTTCTCCCAAACTGTCAAAATCTTAAGAGGGTTCAATTGCCAGATGCCTAATATCAACCTGCATTTGAGCCGCCTTTTCAGGTTTTCAACTCAAATCCTTCATTTGGTTACAAGATGCCCTTTGCGGGTTTTCACCTT